TTAAAAAAAAATAATAATAATAATGATAGCAATAATAATAATAATATAAATGCATAATAATACAAATTTAAAATAATTATTTACTAAATAATTAAAGAAATATTAACAATAAAGGGAATAATATTGCTAATGAAAACAAATTGTCTTGTCAATGCTAGCCCAATTTGTAACTGCATTTGACAGCTGACAAGTGCTGTCAGATGGATTAATTTGACACCGAAAGGGCAAATGTCCAAGGTAAATAGCGCTGCCCATCAAGTCGAAATCTCTATTAGGCATATAGCTTTGGGCAGAGACATTTGAAAAGCGGCTAATTTGCAGACGCAGACAAGGCCAAGTACAACAAAATATGCACAAAATTATAAACGTTAATATTTCTTGCATTCAGAAATATTACAAAACGACGAAAAATTGGCAATGTTTAGAAATGGCGAGAAAACAGTTCACGAATTTGAATGCCAACAAAAATGTTGTCTTAAGACTGTCGCAAAGCTAAAACACAGCCACAAAACTAAACCGAAACATGGAAAATAATCTTGTAAAAGGTACAATTTTTGTTTAAAGATTATTTTGGATAGTTTAAAATTTACCCTATAAATGAGAACAGGCAGAAGAAATGTGGGCTAAATATATGTATCGGACAGTATATCGATTATATAGTATGCCAACTGAATATATAAATGTATTCATCTGAAGATGTTCTAGCCTAGATTTTCTTTTTATGCCATGAATCCATTGAAAATGCCAAAAAGAGTGTGTTTCGGATTATCGATAACTTGCTACGTTTCCAAGCAATCGATAAAAATCGTTATCGAAATCCTGTTTTTTGAGCAAATCTCTTAGGTTTTGAAGCTAAAGTCATCAAACTTGACATACCTAGTAGAATAGTATATACAGATGAAGTATCTGTCATTTTATAGTCATTTTTAAGTCGGGCTTTACTGACTAGAGCACTCTTAATTGTTTGTATGTGCAAATATTTAAAAGCTATATACAAGTTATTCAAAATTAAAATTCTAGATGAAGATGGGGGCCGAAGAAGCACAGTCGCTTCTTATGAATAAGTTTAATGGCTATTTCAAGCTGAATGCAAAGCATCTTTTTATGATCTTATCATTATCTGTGGCTAATGGGTATCTTCTAGTCTTTAAAAGTAGTAAACATAAATGCCAAAAAGAGCGTGTTTCGAATAATCGATAACTTGCCGCGATTCCAAGCAATCGATATAAATCGTTATCGAAATCCTGTTTTTCGAGCAAATTTCTCCTCTTGTCGCGCATCTTTTTATGATCTTATCTTTATCTGTTTCTGATGGGTATCTTCTAGTCTTTATGTATTTCTGCTTATTTTTCTTTCTATCTTTCTTTTCTTTTTTGCATTTTACAAAACATAAAAGTAGTTTTATTATAAACGAAAGCTGCAATATTTGCACATTTATGTCGACTAACGTGTGAATTTTTAGATTACATTTCTGAGTCGAATCCATGTGCATCTGCACAGACTAAGATACTATATAGACTGTAAATATATATATATATATGTATAAATAATTGCTGCTATTAATGCAGCAGACGCTGAGCAATGGAGCAGAGTGAAATGCAATCTTGTTTAATTTTAATTTTAATTTGTTTTTTTTTTTTTATATATATATTCTTGTCTCTATAAATAAATGCAATCCGCGAATCTTTGATAAAAGCTTGCGTGTTCGCGTTCAACATTCGGCGGCATGAAGGCGTTAATTGGGTCATAAATTTATAAATTTTCCAGATTATATTTTTGTATAATTTCATATTTATTGAGCGCAACCCGAGCGGCACCAAATGGACAACTTATGGAAACGATGTCTACGAGTCTTTATTTATTCAATATTTAAAAATACATTCGATCGAATGCAAAAGTCCGCGTCCCGCCCAGCCTGGAACGTTCAGTGGATGCTGGCCACGAGTTCAAGTTTAAGTTTATTGTGGTAAATAGAAAATAATATAAAAACAAAAACTCAGCGAGCAGCTATTAAATTCGCCTTAATTTGCATTTAATATGAACGTATATAAATAGAAGATCAGCTATTAAATGACATTTGGCCAATTATTGCACGCGGCACAAAACATCATCAATTATTTGGCTGGCAAATACACAGAAATACACGTCAATAAAAAGCAAAGTGTGGCAAAAAACAAAATAAAATGAAAAATTAAATTGAAAATGATAAATGCGTTGCTGAATAAATACAAATACAAAAGTTTTAATGAAAAGGTGTTTCATTTTTGCTGGCACAGCTAAAAAAATACACATTTTCGCCAAAAGTTTCGAGTGAATTTTCCAAAACAAACAGAATTTCTCAAAAAAATAAACTCTGAGACCGAGCTGCCTACAAATTCTCAAGCAGAGCTCATTCAATCAAATTCTTACACAGATCTTATATACCCGGCTGTCATTTTGGGTGCCAGCATAGCGAAAATATAAAATGATAAAATGCGCCAGCTTTTAAAGTACGCCAAATGTTTGCCCCCCAACGAGAAAAATGAATTCATGTCAAAGACAAACTATTGAATAAGACTTTTTGGCAACGTATTTCGCATGTTTTTTCCGAGTGCTACGAGAACCATACGTAGTTGATATACCATACATTATTTTATTTTTTTTTGGTACGTACGTACATCCATATGCCATTACGCAATGGATATTTGTATATTCTTTTTTTCAGAACACACAACCCAAAGGCCCTGCGCTCATTGCAATAACAAACAGCTTGGAGTGCTGCGGTCGGGTGTGCACGACTGTGGGATACCCTGAGTCCCGAGTCAAGCTGCAGTTACAGAAATTACAGCTTCCTTTTATACACACATGAATAAATAAACATATCTACACGAACTTATTGCAGCTGTTGTCCATCTTCCTCCCTTAACTCCCCATTTTGTATGGAAAATACATTCTTGATTAACTTCGGTGCTTATAGTCCGATTCTTATGAAATTTGCAGAGCTTAAATCAATAAGCGCAAGGCTCTACCTTTTGAATACGCATTTTTTGCTATTCCTTTAAGGAATAGGGAGAGGTATCTTAAAAGTGAAATACTTTTAATCTTCATTTGCTTTTAAAGCACCTCCACATTAAGTTTGGTGCGTCTAGTTCACATAATCTTCGAGTTATGCTTAAGGGATCATCTCTGAAAATCGACTTTTGATATTATGAAAATGGAAAGAGATATCAAAAAACTCCTTAACCTCATAACCTCATACTTAAAGACCCATTAACTTTTGCTAGGTATGGTATTATAGAGTATATATTGATTTCAAATGCAAGTCCCAGCTTTAATAGTCTCCAAGATAGACACACTCACAAAAAATGAACTAAACTGGTTGAACTGAGCTCCTCGTCCTAATCAAAAATATAAAAACTTTATGGGGTCGGCCTTCTACTACCCGTTACATATATTAACACATAATCATTATGCCCCTTTCTGCCAATTTCAAGTAGATTTAGGGTATAAAAACAAATGGCAAATACAATGCAAAGGGGACCCCCCAGACCAAAGTGTCCGCAAAGTGAGCTAAACAAATCACCCGAGTGACACACTTTCCTGTTGGTTGTCATAAATATTTTAACGCGAAACGTACAGCCACATTTAACATACTCAATTGGAAAAGAATTCTTTTCAGAAATTTGTGAAAAACCATTTTTACTGTTGGCCGACGCCTAATTTGACAAAGGATATGACATAAGAGAGCTGACAGCATTATTTCAGCGACAAAACAAAAGATGATTTCTTAAAGCTGATTGAAACGGAATACTTTTCATCAAAGCAAAGGGGTTTCTCCTCATTGGAAATACTAGAAAATAGTTTAGTTCATATTTTAGCTGTGGGATTCTCCGATTCTGTTGCATGCTTTTAGGCGCCAGCTGATTTTGAATATGCAGGAAAAGCATAAGAAAAAGTTTAAGCTGAAGAAGAAAACGAACAGGGATAAGCAGCTTTAAAAGGGTTAGACTTTGTGGTGTATAAATTTGAGAGAAAAATGTTGGATTTAAAGACAGGAATATTTCCCTTCGGTCGATTATTTGTCTAAATTGAGACCTGCTCGGCAGAAGGTTAGAAAAAAAGAACTATGTCCCAAGTGAACGTCATTGGGTTTATTATAAGAATGAAACTTAATTAAGATACTCGACATAAATATCATCAATTACTAAGAGAGCTGCAGATTATTTGCCTAAGAATGCGAATTATTAGGTGAGCTAAATAAGAAGGACACTGGTTCGAGTCCCAGCTATGAGTTTTATGAAGCTAGGAACATTTGAGTTTTAGTTAAATTTTAGCGTATACCTATTACAAATAAAAGACTTAAGAGACTTGGTTAGATAAAATCATCAAATAATAAACTTAAAATAAAATATTTGTCTAAGTGATTCATTCGCTGAGTCAACTGAACAACGAGGATCGAATCTCAAGTTTGCTTATAGCTATTGTTTAGAGTAAGGTTGATTCTAAGCCAAAACATAAGAATAAAGTGTAATTATATCTTCATGGACATTTCGGCATAACTAAAATACACTCGTATTATGGCTACTTTAAAAGTGGCCCGAGACATGACAGTTTAAGTATATTTGGATTGGTTGACAGGAGCATTAAAATAAGAACCATCAAATGACTTATGTGAAATGCCTCGGAACTCAAATCGATGACATCACCCGACCGAAATGAGCCAAATGCGAAATGGGGCAAATATATAAAGTACACATATATATATGCCATATAGACTATATGTATATTATATGGCCAATTGTCTGTGGCTGAATGTCAGTGCACTTGGCGCATGCATTTGTTGAACAAAGTGATCTCAATGCTAGGGCATTTGTTTTTTGGCAGAATCGAGAATTGAGAATTGAGAATCGAGGAGAAAACACGCCGAGATACAAATAGATGGGAAATATTTTTAGCAGCTGTTGCGCCGGGTCGAGCGTTGCGTCAGATGCAGTTTCTGAATGAACCGATTACAGACTATATTCAATTATATATACATATGTATATATTCATATGTTTATTGTGCGATAAGCTAGATAAGAATCAATTGAAATCATAATAAATAATTAACAATTAAATTGAGCTCTCATTCGATTTATAGATCGTTCGTGCGTGTTTCTGGGTCTGGTCGTTAGTATAATACATGATTCGGCTACCCTCAGTCTGGCGGAGTGGGTGCTGGAACTGGTACTGGTACTGGAACCGGAACTGGAACTGGAACTGGTACTGGAACTGGGTGCAAAATAGTCGTGCATTGTTTTTTGTACAGCGTTTGTGTGCTATTTTTTTTTTTGTGGTGGACTTATGAACATGTCTATAAGAAACAGATAGAAATCGAAAACAAATGTAAGTGTATAGATTATTCGTGGTAAATATGTTGCATGTGCGCTAGCTAGCTAGAAAAGCGGATAGAAATTGGCATCCTTGAGTATGTCAAAGCTGTCCACAACGGAACGAGCAGGCGCAGTCGCAGTCGCCGCAGGAGCAACTGTCGCCGCAGCCAGATCGGAGCTGGACGGCTCCTCGATGGATGAGGCGGGCGTGAGGCACAAGCTGTGCCCGGCACTTAAACTGGCCAGGAGATTCTGCTGCGTCGAGGCTGGCGTTAGATTCGTGGAAGCCGACAGCGTAACGGGCGCAATCTTGGCCAGCGCCTCGGCCAGGGCCACATCGATGTCCGGCTCGGTGGGCAGCTCCTTGGCCTGCTCCTTGGTTGACTTCTTGCGCTTCTTGGTTTTCTTTTTGAGTGCGCCTTCATCCGGCGCCTCGAGCTCGGCAATGCCCTCCAGCGCAGCCTCCGGCAAGAGCCCGACGCTGTTGCGCGGCGAGAAGAGCGCTCCGTTAGCATCCTCATTGGCGGAGCTGCTCTTGGAGCTGCGTCGCGAGCGCACTTTGCGAACTTTGGTCAACGTCTCTGTTGAGTGCTCGGCATCGTCTCTGGTCGCGGAGGGACGTCGTTTGTATTCCTGGTTGTCGGAGTCGTTGTCGTCGCGCAGTTCCTCCTCCGTTTTGGAGCCCTTGCGCGTCTTTTTCTTGCTCTTCTTCTTTTTGGGCTTCTCGCTGAGCGTTGCTTCTACTTCTCCAACAGCTGTGACTTCCACGTGTCTGTCCACTCCACTCTCCTGCTCTGGCAAGGTTTCCTCTGCCACAACCGACAACAACTCGCGCTCCGGACTGCGACTGAACAGGGTGATGCTCTCGCCGCCGAGGCTATAACGACGCAAGTCCAGTTCTCCGCTTGGCGCGACTTCGTAAAGATCCAGTTCCTCTTCCTGCAGCTCCACCAATTCCAACTGATCCTCGCCTGGCTGTGGCTCAACTACAGCAGCTGCCTGCTCCTCCTCAGTGTCGTCCAGCTTGAAGTTCTTGCGCCAATTGTACTCCCGCTTGGGCTTGTAATTGAGGTCCACCTCGATGTCATCCTCCACAACGCCCGCTTGCAGCTTGGGGCTGTAGCCGTAGCGCGTGCGCAGGCGCGCGGATTGGCGTGCCGCCACCTGGGCATCGCCCAGGTAACGCATCTCGGTGTCCCGGCGCTCGCCCTCGAGCAGTCCCAGCGAGATGTCTATGTCTCTGTGTCTGCTGCTCGTGCTGTCTTCGGATCTGTCCAGCGCCCGGGTCTTGGCCCACAGCGCATAGCGTTCGCTGTCCGAGCCGGATTTCTCCTTGTCCGATTCGCTTTGGTCGGCACCTTCCGCCGGCAGCTGCTCCTGGACCATCGTCTCGAATTCCCTGAGAATGCCGCTCTGCTTGCGATTCTTGACGGCATCGTTGTAGATTTGCTCTATAAAGGAATCCGGATCGGAGTAGGCGCCGCCGCCCACAGCCCCGTCGTCCAGGCTGTAGTCACCGAAATCCTCCACATTGTCCACTTCCTCCCAGTCGTTGGCACCGCGATTCGCATAGCGATCCGCATTACGCTCGGCCTCCTCGCACTCGGACGTATCGTGATGGGATTCATCCGTCGGCTGTGTGCGCTCATTGTTGTCCGAGATGCCCTCGTCCAGCTCAAATTCGTATTCGTCGTCGTCGTCGTCGTCATCCATTCCGACCACCGTCTGTCGTTCGTCCTCGCTGTCGTTGCTGCTGTAGGCATCCTCGTTGCCCAGCTGCTCGCCGCAAATGTCAAACTTGTAAATGGCGCTCGTCTCGTCAAACTCCGCCGCCTCCGCCTCGGCGGCGAGCACGGCGCGTGCCCAGGAGCCCTCCTCCGTTGGCTGCTTGCCTGAACTCTCAAACGATTCGCTACTTTCGTCAAAGTCCAGCTCAAGGCTGGCCAGGTCGTGCGTATAGAAATCCTCCTTTAGCCAGGTTCTTTTGCCCGTCAGCGAACGCACTTCGATCTGCGATATATAGACGCACTCATCGCTGGGATACTCCTCGACGGGCTGCTCCTGCGCCAGCGAGTAGCGCCTGAAATGATGATACTCCTCCGGCTCCAGATCCGCAAACGGATCCAATTGCATAATGGCCGAGTCCGAGGCGCGTCGCTCGCTATCCAGAAAATCCGTATTCAAATATCGTGAAAAGTTCTGAAAGTTGACGCTGGCGGCGGCCAGCTGATCCAGCAACTGATCCTGTTGCTCCCGCTTGGCCGCCTCGGCATCGATATTCCGCAGGCCAGGCGCCTCCTGCTCGTCCCGGCTGGGGGAACGACTCTGGCTGCGCGAACGCTGAAACTCGGCCGTGCGATGCCGTAGATCGTCCAGCTGCGGGGCTATGCCCAGATCGAGGGATTCGCCCACGTAGGTGGAGCGCTTGAAGCGCCCGGACAGCGCTTCCTCCTGCATGCGCTGCGTATCCTTGAGCTCCTCGGAGAAGCTGCGCTCGCTGTACTCGTTCGTCTTGGGCTTGGCGCCCAGACGCTTCTCGTTCTCCACGCCGCTGGCGCTGATCAGCGACTCCAGAATGGCCGACTGCATCTCACGCTGCGCTGCCGCCTGCTCCCGGGCCGCGGACAGCTCCAACGAGGGCGAGGACGAGGGCGAGGGTGTACGCGAGCGCTGAAACTTGAAGTTCGGCTCAAGCTCGCTGCCCAGGTCCACGGATTCGCCCACATAGGTCGACCTCTTGAAGCCGCTGACGTTGAGCTCATCCTTCAGATCGCGCACCGCCTCCGAGAAGCTGCGCTCGTAGTCGTAAGGGTATTCCGATTCGTCCACGCGCAGCTCGACCTCCTCGCTGGCATGTTTTAGCTTTTGCAGCGCCTCCAGGTCGAGGTCACGCTGCTTGGCGCTGTTGGCCAGCATCTGCTCCAGCTCAGCGCTGTGCTGACGCAGAGTTCGGTTCTCGGCACCCTCCAGGTTGAGCAGAAGATGAAAGTCCTGCTCATCGCTGGGCGACACGGAGCGCGAACGCGAGGGCGACAGCGAACGCATATCCCGACCGGTCGGAGACTCCGGTTCCGGTGTTGTCGCCCGCTGCTGCAGCTGCTCGAAGAAGGCATCGTTTTGGGCTATCAGCTTTTCGCGACGGTTTTGCAGGCTGTGCTCCAGATTGGCGGCACTGGGCAAGGGGGATCGGGAACGGGAGCGGGAGTGCGAGCGACAGCGATTCAGACGCAGCTGCTCGAACAGCCGGGCCATCGACTCGGGCGTATCCTCCGGCTCCTGCTGCTGCTCCCTCTCGGGCTCCTCCGCCACATCAATCGAGATGGTGGGTAGGGGCGGCGGACTGAGCGCAATGACTGGAGGAGGAGAGACTGCTGCCTGCTCTTCCCTGAGCTGCTCGCGTATGTCGTCGTTGTGCCGGATGCGCTTCTGTCTGCGCGACTCCAGGCTGCGTGCAATATTATCGGCTGTGGGCAGCGGCGAGCGGGAACGGGAGCGGGACGGGGAACGATCCCGCGAATTGGCGCGTTCGGCACGCATTGTCTCCACAAAGAGACGCATCTCCTCGCGTGTGGGCATCGGCTCCGGGCTGTCGATGGCTGCCTCGGCCATGTCATTGATTTCGATAACAGGCTGCGGCAGGTCGACTTCCGGATGAGCCTCGGCATAGCCATTGGTTGCCAGCTGCTCCTGCTCCTGCTCCTCGCTGGCTTGCGGCGGCGTCTCGTAGACCATGGACAGCACCTGGTTGCTGCCATTCTGTAGATCGTCGGCGACATTCTGCAGCTGCAGCTGCTGCTCGGCTTCATTGGAGATGGTTGCCTCCAGCATTTGCAGCACGAGCTCGCAGTTCAGTTCGCCGGCGATTAGGCCCTCCTGGCTATCATCGTAGACCTCCAGGGTGTGCGCCTCGTCCACGTCCATGCGGTGGGCGACGTTCTTGGGCTGCGGCGAGGGATTGCGTGATGTGGAGCGCGAACGCGACGGATTCACAGATGCCGTAAAATCATAGAAATCGCTGATTCCCTCCATGAGCAGACCGTATTGATCCCGCCAGGGCGCCGTATCCGGCTGATGCACAGCGATGCTGGGCGGCGGCGACTGGCTGGCCGTGTGGCCGGCTGCCTCGGATTCGCGCCAGCGCTCCTCATAGTGATCCATTTCATCGATGCGCGGACTGCGACGTAAGCTGGGCGAGCCGCCTCGCGACTGCTCCTCTGTTGCCTGAGAGGTTTGCAGCTGCGGAGGCAAAGCGGGAAGCGAAAGCAGAGGCATATATGAAAGGCAAATGGAAAGCGGTTAAAGCAGCTGAGGATTAGGGCCAGGTGTGCGTGCGGTTGGGGTTAACCAAAGCCAGAAGCACTTACATTGGATTTAATGTTGCTGCCGCCGGGCTCCGACTCCAGCTCGAGCTCCGTGACTTTCGCGGCCTTCGCCTTGTCCCTGTCCTGGTGTGGCAATTGGGGATTATTTGAAATGGATCCTTGATGCTGCTTCATTCGCCACTTACCAGTTGCTCCTTGGAGCGCTGCTGCAGCAGTGCGTTGGCCGCCAGCGCGTTTTGTTCGTCCGTCGCGTGCTCGAAGGAAGACTCTTTGGGCGTGATTTGCGCCTCGTCCGGCACCTCTTCGCCCGAGGCGCGCCTCTCCAGATCGAGCTCCTCCTCGTCAATGGACAGGGCCTTCTCGCGCTTCCAAAACTCCGTGTTCTTATAGGGTTCGGGCAACAGCTCACCCCAGGGATTTGAGCCCTCCTCGCCAAGCATTTCCAGCGAGCCGCTCGGATCGGTCGCCGGCTTCACATCCTTGGCTGGACTCCGTTTGTGGCGTCTGTGATGGGATTTGACGCGCAGCGCCGGCTCTGAGCTGTAATTGATGGGATTGTAGTCCGCCTTCTCGCCGTGCTTCAGCTCCTCCTCTTCCAACGAGGTGAACATTTTCAGCTCCTCGTCGCGTGAGGCGCGTGAGTCACGCGATGAATTCGAACTGCCGCTTGATCTGCGCTTCTTAAAGGCGCGTCTCCGACCCGAACCATCCTCGCGCATTAGGGGCCGACTCTTGATGCCATCCAGGGAGCGCAAGTAATCCTCGGTGTACTGGACATCGGGCACATAGTCCTCGCCCTCGGGCTCCTGGCGTTCCTCCTCCGTCATCTGGCGCGAACGATCCTCGGAGACTTGCGTGCTGAAGGAGGACTGTTGGCTGGAATCGGGCTCCACGGAGGAGCCCTCATCGGATACGCCCGGAAACGTGAGCGTCTTGGAGCGGACGTAGGGCTCCTCGCTGCCGGCGCCCGTTTGACCAAACTGCGTCTTGACCCGTTGCACGATCAGCGGCTCCTCGATTGTTGGCTCCTCGAATCTGGGCGGCATTATTTTCTTTACGCACGGCTCCTCCACAACCGGCACCATGCCAGCATATTCGGCATCCTCCTGCTCCTGCGCCGCCTGCAGCATGCGCTGCTGCAGCATCACCATCTCCTCCTCGGCCTCCATGAAGAGTCGCGCATTCTCCTCAATCGACTTTTGTTTCCTTTCCATGCCCACTTGGCTCGACGCCAGGCGCCGGGACTGCTCCAGCACGAGCGCCTCCTCCTCCAGCTCGCTCTCGGTCGCGCTCAGCTTGCGCTCCCGCTCGGCGGCCAGCAGACGCTCCACAATTTCCTCGTCCCGCTGCGCCTGCTCGGCATCCAGGTCGAGCAGCAGGCGCTCTGCCTGTGACTGAGACTCTTCCTCTTCTATTTTCCGCTGTGCTGCCTGTCGCTCTTCTTCTGCTTCCTCGAGTTTTCTTTCATTCTCCTCTCGCTCGCGCTGTTCTTCTGCTTCTTTGCGTTCTCTTGCACCTTCGTCCAGTTCACGCTGTTTTTCTGCTTCTCTCAATTTTCTTTCATTTTCCTCGCGTTCGCTTTCAGCCTCTTGCAGCCTTCTTTCATTTTCCTCACGTTCGCGTTCGATCTCTTGCAATTTCCTTTCATTTTGCTTTCTTTCGCTTTCAGCCTCTTGCAATTTTCTTTCGTTTTCCCTTCTTTCATTTTCCTCTCTTTCCCTTTCAGCCTCTTGCAATTTTCTTTCATTTTCCTCGCTTTCTCGCTGCGCTGCTTCGCGTTGCTTTTCGGCCTCAATTAGTTTTCTTTCATTCTCGCGCTCTTGTTCTTCCTGATCGCGTTTCCTTTCGCTTTCTTCGCGCTGCTTTTCCGCCTCCAACAATCTTCGTGCGTTCTCCTCCGCCTCGGCTCGGCTCGCCTCGGCTTTGCCGCGCTCCTCGGCCAATTTGTGCTCCGCCTCCGCCAGCTGTTGGCGCGTCTCCTCCTCGATGCGCCGCTGACGCTCCAGCTCCGTGGCTAATGCCTCGCGTTTGTCCACGCGAAAGCCGTTGCTGTAGACGACGCCATCCTGCATGGCATTCTGGCCGCCGGCGGCTGCCTCACGTGCCGCTGCCTCTGCCAGCTCCTTGTCCAGGCGCTCGCGCAGACGCGGCAGCTCCTCGGCATCGGCGGCGGCATCGATCAGCTCATTGCTGCCATCCGGATGCCGGCACGTCCAGTGATACAGATGACGCGCCACAAAGGCAAACTCCAAAGCGCCCAAATAGCCAATCAGCAGGGAGAAGATCAGCTCCCCAAAGCCGGCGAACGCCTCGTCCGCAGCCATTCGCGTTCGCTTGCGTAATGCGCCGAGCGTCCAAAGAGTCTATCCCAGCAATGCAATGCCTTGTCTATGTGTGTCCGTGTCTGTGTGTGTGTGTGCGTGTGTGTGTTATATAAAATTCACCACGCACTCACAGACTCACTCACAAGCACTCGAAGCACTCGGAAACACTCACTCGGTGATTAGGTAATTCAATTAAAATTTTATGCCACGCGAAAATTTGTCGAAAACTTGTTGTCTCAAGAAAATTTCGCATATATTTAAATTTTCGCTTAATTTTCTTTGAATTTCTGCTTGAATATTTATTATATATATATATACTTTTCACTTTTGCCAGCCGGAGGGCAGCTGAGGGCGGCGCCGAGCTGCAGTTGTTGCCAGTTAATCGATCGTCTTGCAACTGATTAATGCGGCCGGGACTAAGGGCCGACACGACTGAGGTGTGATTCACACGGCCAAGCGAATGAATCGCAAGCACAACAATCAAAAAAGACAAACGAGCAGAGGCGCTAATTGACGAAACGGGGCGTGGCAAACGGAGGCTTCTTTTTTTGGCAACGAAATTGGCAATCGGAATTGGCGAACGGAACCGCGCGCGGTTTCTAATCAGCGCGCCATGTAAATGGCGAGTGATTTTTCGAAACGCCAGCACCAATGAATACACTCACAAATACACTCACACACACTCGAACATATATATATATATATGTATTTTTATAGAGGAATATTTGTTTCACATTTTGCGTTTTTGTTTTCCCAGCGTTTTCGCATTTGTTTCGTTACGCTTTTCATTTTGGCTATTTATGTTTTTTAATACTTTTGTGCGGCGGGCGACCTTCGCCATTTGCGGCATGGCCAATGTCGCGGCGAGTGCTGCAGTTGCCACGCAGCTGCCATAAATTTGTGTGGCAACAACAACAACAACATTGCCAACCAGGGCTGCAAAACGAACAACAATTTGTTCATGGTTCGAACCAAATAAATGCATCTAGCTGCGATTCGTCCAACTGCTTTTTCACATACATAAAACCAGTTTCTTACTGGAAAACCTCATTTGTCGAACTGGATTTTAACCAGTTTAGTTCAAACCTTAATTTGTTGAACCACTTTTAAATATTTTTGGTTCAAACTTTAGTTTGACAAACCAGATTTCAATCAGTTTGGTTAAAAACATTTATTTGTCGAACCGGATTTGAACCAGTTTGATTCGAACCTTCATTTGTGGAACCGGGTTTGAATATTCTTGCTTTACACCTTGGTTTATCAAGCCGGATTTGCACTAGTTAGGTTTAAACCTTAATTTGTCGAACAAGGTTTGATTCATTCTAGTTCAAAGCTTAGTTAATCAAACCCCATTTGAATCTGTTTGATTCAAACCTTGGTTTGTCAAACCAGGTTCGAACCGGTTCGAGCTATATTCGATTATTTTATACATACATTATTTATTTTAATCGCATTAAACGATACACTAATCGTTGCCTTTCAGCATATGTATCAGAAGAAGAGAAGTAAAACAAACAAAATTTCTATTTTCATCAACTTTCTATTTGTTTTTCTCATAAATATCGAGATAATGTGCCAAAAATAAATGGGTCGCCTGTTTGTTCGTTTGTATTTGTTTGTGTCGAAAGCGAAAGTGTGCGACAGCCGCAAGAAAATCATAGCAAAATTGCCCGACAGAGCACCCAAGAAGAGGGTGTGGCAGAACCATATGCCATATATTTATTAGTTTCAATGGCAAACGAATGGGTTTTAATGGGGGCCAGAGCACAGAAATATAGAACTTATATTGAAGCTAACAGCTGTTTAGCACGAAGTTCGCTAAAACTGAAATATTATCAAAAGATGTTCGCGCAAATGACAAGGACACGAATTTACAATTCTTGAGAAAATTCTCGGAAAAACAAACATTATTATTATAATTATTTCTAGACACCAAAAAAGGCTGTCTTAAGAATATAAAATCGTTAAAATATGAACTAAAGTAATTAAAAAATAAATTGTTTTGTGATTCATTTGCAAATACACTGCAAAAAGTGATCACAGAAAATATTTCTGCCAAACTAGAAAAACTATCTGAGTTGGAATATATTTTCTAACATAAAAATGTATGCCATTTTTGATGCAATACAATAAACGTTTTGAGGAAAAATATGTTAAAAAATGTTCAATACTTTTAATATGCACAAAATTCAATTAAACTATAATTTAGCTCAAAATTGATTAACATTTGGTGAAAATTAGTTCACCAAACATGTCTCTAATTGAGCAGAAAGAATGAAGAATGTAAATTTGATTATAGATATTTCAACAAAATCTTTAAATTATATGAATATATTGCTGATTGTGGCAACATATTTATGATTATATTCCACAAAGACTAAATTAAAAGCGCCCCCCTCAAACTGCGAGCTCTGCTGCATTTCACTTTGATATTTCAAGAAGTCTTAAGAAAAAACATTAAGAAAACAAAGTTCAAACTAAGATAACCTTTGAAAATTGCTGCGTTTTTAGAATTCAAAATAGTTTAAGCCTAGCATAAACGACCAACATTCTGTTATTAACACGCTTTTAACATCAGTTTAACATTTGCAGCATTTACATAGGCAAATCATGTAAATTCTTAAGTTTTCGAATAGACACACTGTTCGACAATTTTTTTAAAATTTTTCTTAAGGCCTGAACGATTTGCTCACTTTGCACCGAACTGCTTGCACTTACTTTCGAATTTAGAAAACTCTTGCCGTACGCACGATGTCAACACGTCAACAGACAATGCCACAATTGAACTGTCAACTGGCCCAGGTAATGGCCAATAGTTGCATTGGCTGACTTATCGTTGGGCAAAAGATATGAGGTTCAATGAGAATAGGTAGGAGACCCGACCCTGCACGGGATTCGGCTGGACACACCTCTGTCATTAAAGGTGAATGCGTGCGACAGGCCATAAAAGCGTAGACCGCGAAAACTAGATGACATAGCCCGAGCGCCAATTAGAAACCAGAACAATTAAAAGGACCGCCTGAAAGTGTGCTAAGCATTTGACAACGAGACGAATGTGTGCCTGTGTGCGTGTGTGTGTGTGTGTGTGTGTGTGTGTGCAATTTGGTGATGAAAGAGACTCACCTCATCACAGCCCGTGCAGCGGGGTTTCAGCATTTCCGCATAATGGCGCTCACAGTAGACCTTGTCATCGTGAACACAGTAGGTGAGATCCACGAGCAGCTCGTTGCAGGTGCTGCAGGTGAAGCACTTGGGGTGCCACATGACGCTCTCGACGAACTTGGGCGCGGCCACAATCAAATCGCCGGCTGCAATCTCGTTATCACAGTGCGCACAGTGCTCATCGTAAGGTGCATCCTTGATGTAGGCTGCATATCAGAGAGTTAATATCGGAGTCTTTAGCTCTTCTCAGATTCACCCACCTATGTCTAATGCGATTTCGTTGCGCGCCGTCACAAAGTCCTCGAAGGAGGCCTCGTGCTGCACCTCCAGATGCTTGCAGTGCTCCAGCGACAGATCCTGCTTGGGCAGCTGGTACGAGATCTGCTGCTCGCGCAGGCGTGCTCCCTCGCTGCCCAGCCGCGGCACCTTCTCGTCGGGCAGCTGGTCAAAGTAGCGATTCACCCGGGACGAGGCGCGCACGCCCGGCGGCACCCACGTATAGCCCAAATCTCGGGGCTCCACGCCCGAATCCGCCGGCGAGACCACCTTGAAGCCCAGCCGCTCGTGCACATTGGTCGTCTGTTGCTGGTAAATGGCGTGCGCCTCGCGCGGACACTTGCAGGATTGGCAAGTTTTTCTGCAAAGAAGAAGCGAACAGACCATGAATACCAAAGAAAATTTGAGTATTTTCTTGGAAATTTAAGTTTCCATAAGCTCAAATTGTTAGTAAATTAAAATTTGCCATTTTATCGCCTAAAAAGAAGTACTATTTTTTTAGACAACATATTTGATATTGTTTTAATTATAAATTTGAATATAAACTTAAATTGTTTATAAATTAGAATTGTCTTCTGTACCGCTTTATAATTAAACTTTCTTTTTATTTATTTTTATTTTTTTTTCCGTGAATATTTTTGATTTCTTTAATTAAAATTTCCATCAACTTAAATTGTTTGTTAGTTTATTTGAATGGGTATTTTTATTGCCTTCGAACTTTGAATTTTATATTTCAATATTTAATCAATATAAACTTCATTTTCATTAGTTCAAATTGTTCATAATTTAATTTTGGAATTTAATCGCCTTTTTAGTTTTCCTCCTAATTTTTATTTTTTATACTATTTTTTAGAAAATATTTTTGATATTGCCTTAAATTTAAATTTTCATTAGATCCAATTGCTCAAATATAGAAGAAATAATTTCTAATGCCTTTTTAGATAATAGTTTTGATAAATTATACGATTTACGACTACTTTTGAATGTGGAACTTGTGAAAACCTAATGAAAATGGTTCATAGAAATCATGAGAACTACAGTTTATCATATGATTTAAAGTGAAATACAGAAGCCTACAGATTTTCGAATTGCTTTGCAAGACCGAAGCATTCCGATAACCAGAGAAAAATGCAAAACAATAATATAGATATAATTCCTATCAATTATCTATTAATTTTTCATTTGTTAAGAAATACAATCTATAAATACAGATATTATTCCAATCTATTATTCATTCACATTTCATTTAAATTATAATTTTGATTTAAAAAATTCGAAGCGAAATTTCAAAAATAAAGCGTTGCGTAGTACACTTTATTGCCGCTGCCTGCTGGCAGCGCCAGCGCAAGCTCGTGACGCGGCGCCATCTAGCGGCAGCTTTTTGAACGACGCGGTCGCTTACCTTACAATGAGATCGTAAATTTCTTTCCTATCGAATACTTTGCAGTAAATGCTGAGGACATTGAGGCACGCATAATGCATGCCCGTCCAGGGCACATCGGAGGAGGCCAATGCCGCCCACAGTGGGCACTCAGCGTGACGGTCCAGGTCGAGCATTTTCACCATTTTACGTTTACGACACTCTGCATTTACGCTAACTGTACTTTAAGAGCTTGGCTAGTTTATGATTATTTTCCAGTTGTTGTTGTTGTTGTTTTAAAATATTAATGCTTATTATTTTTTATTTTTATTTTTGTTTTTTTTGCTTTTAATTCACTTTTTTCTGTTTCTGTTTTTATCTGCCGTTTGACTCATCAAAATTTTGGGTATTGCTGGGGTCGGCCTCACTATAAGCACTCGGGGGCGCCTCCATACGTAATCCGAAGTGGGCAAAATATATATATATATATGTATATATACGAATAAGTTAAACTGCCATTTGGCACATCTGTTTTGTGGGGGG